CTGGCTATTATAACTGCAGTTGTTTAAGTGTCTTTGGACAGAGAGATATCTATTTTCTGCAACAATTTTTCCAAAAGACCAGGGAGTGGGGAAGCAGTTCTGCAGGAGTTCTGCTGAGAAGTCTTGTCTTAAGTAGCTCCAGAAAGAAGGCTTGTGTGTTTGGGGCCCAGTAATGTGCATTTGCCAGATTGGTTTAGGTTTATTCCCTCCCCACCTCAATTAGGAAAACTAGATAAAAAACTGAATCCACTGAATAGAAAGGAAAAATGTGTAGCAAAGGAAACTATTGTGATTAGGGAGCTATTAACCAGTTATTTCTGTCCACTTTTCTATGTGTTTATAAAGATGATGCTTGTTAGTTGAATCAGTTACTATAAATGGTATCTGTGCTAGCAGTGTTTCATATAAGATCTCTACCCTTTCTTTTAATATTTTAACATGGACCTTGCCTTGTTATTATTAACAGGAATTAGTTCAGTATTTGTAAAAAGCACCAAGTATTGAGGCAATGAATACTGAGTAGGGTATGTTGTAGAGTGCTGTCACCTAGGCTTTATTGATTGATTTATTGAATTTATATGGCCACCCATCTCACTTGCATGTGACTCTTGCTTGATGATGGCCCAATTTACATCTTTACTTCTGAGGAATCCTTATCCTTTCAGACTCCCACATTACACTTCGACTGCGGCGTGACTTTTCATATCAAAACAGATACCTTCATTTTCTGTTAGAGCTGTGCAGAGCTCCAGATTTGATTCTGAAAAGGTGCTTTGGAGCCCTTGGGAGTGCAGACGTAGCCCCTGCCTGCAACTCCTGAAAGCAGTTTTTCTTTTTGTAAGATTGAACAGCTGTCCTCCACTGCACTTCGGTTTTCTTGAAGCGGTCTCCCCCACCCCATCTCATGCCCTCTAAGAGTATTGGACTACATTTCTCCAATGGCAGTTGTGGTCTAACACATCTGATAGGCACCAGGTTGGGACAGCTGTCTAAAAATATTTGACCGAGGCTGATTATAGCCAGCCATAGAGCAAATCGCAATGGGGATTGAAAACCCTAAAATACATGCTCTGCATAGATCACAAGCATCTGTGGCATGCACTTATAATCATCATTCTAGGTACCAAAGTGTTATACATGCTTTAGGTCAAGTGGAAGTGACATTTTCCCATAGAAAGAGAGCATTTCAGTTGCTGTATCTTTTTTCACTCTTCCTCACACAGCACGTGCTACTCAATGACATACTGTTAAATGACAGATTAGAAAAAACCCAGCCCACAGGCGAGATGCCAGAGATGCCTGTGCTGCCATTTGATGGAAAGGCTTGGATGAACATGAACGTTGCCTCTGATTTTTCATGCAGTTCTTTTTGACACAATTACCTTCACATCTGAAAGCAGAGATTCCAGTACCTCTGAGCTTCTCCAAAGCTTTGCTTACAAGTTTGTGGCACCGTGGGGGGGATTCCCTCCACCGTCTGAGGCGAAGAATGTTATGAAGCAGAGTAAAATAGCAAATTGTTCAGAAAGGCATATTTAATATATGAGGCTTGAATGCTTCTTATTAACATGTAACTAGACTGTACTCCCAACTTCGGCATAAAACACTGTGGGATTTCCTGTATTAGCAGGAATAGTGATAGCTATAACACTATTTTCTATTGTGAAAATTAACAAATCCCAACATTTCAGTCACTCGGCACATTAAGAGTGCAAAAAGCTTGATTGTTGTACTGCTGTGCCAAATGGTTTGTGGTGACATAATTCTGGCAGAGATGCAGGATGATGAATGAAAATATGCTTTTGTACAAAAAAACCTGTGACATGCTAGGCATGAATCAAATGAGAAGCCTGGAATTGCATATACCTTTGAGAGAGATGTTGGCATGCTACCATAAACATTACAGTGGTAAAACTAAGCCAATAGTTGGTGCTGGGTGTCCATGAATTTCTGTACACTATCACTTCTTAGAATAGGAGAACCTTAAGTGATAGCCTTATAGCGAGACAGAGCTTATTTAGAAGTCTTCAGGATTAAAGTGTATAAAGTTGCCATGGTCCATATTGTTTTCCACTGAGATGAAGATCTTAAAGGCAGAGAGAGAAAAAAAATCAAGTAACTTTACATACTACCTTTTTCAAATGTGACAAAAGTAAATATGATTTGTAGGCATATCTAAGCCATTTTTGGTGAGGCTAGTAAAATCAGAAAAACAAGTGAGGTCAGTTGAATGTATGAGTGTAGAAAGAAGCTAATGCTGATTTATCCACTTTTTCATACATGGAACAGAAACAATTGAATATGCAACCAGTTTCTTGTAGAATTTAAGAGAATGTTACACTGTATTGTCGAAGGCTTTCACGGCCGGCATACGATGGCTGGTGTGGGTCTTCCGGGCTGTGTGGCCGTGTTCTGGGAGTTTTGTTTTCTAACGGTTTACCAGCATCTGTGACCAGCATCTTCAGAGTGCAGGAGCACAGACAGGAGCAGTTCTCTTCCTGCACTCTGAAGATGCT